TAGATCATATGCCACCTCCTGAAATGGATGAACATGGACCACTTCTTTTTGGTACAGTGACTCTGTGTATTCCTTCCATCTTCTTTTGATGTTCCCTGCATCATTCAATGTTTTGCCCTTAGAATCTTTCAATATTGCAACTCGAGGCTTAAATTGTTTCTTCAATTCTCTCAGCTTGAGAAATGCAGAGAGTGTTCTTCCCTTTTGGTTTTCTAACTCCAGGTCTTTGCACATTTCGTTATAATAACTGGCTTTGTCTTCTCAAGCTGCTCTTTGAAATCTTCTGTTCAACTCTTTTCCTTGTCATTTTTTCCATTTGTTTTAGCTACTCTCCGCTCATGGGCAAGTTTCAGAGTCTCTTCTGTCATCCATTTTGGATTTTTGTTCCTATGAGATATCTTCATACTTTGTGAAACACTGATGGTTGAAGAGGCATTGGTGTAAGTGGTGGGATTCTCGTCTTCCATGTGGGAGACCTGTGTTCAGTCCCCGGCCAGTGAGCCTCATGCACACTCACCAACTGTCTGTCATCTCTCTGGGAGCAGATTGCCAGGCCTTTCTTCTGTGATACTGCTGGATGGGTTAGTAGTCTAGTGCACACTCTGCTACACTTAAAGGCATTACAACCCAGCCCTCTTCCTTTCTATGGTTATGATGAAGAGATACTGCATGAAAGGGTAAACGAGATGGGTGTCACTGATTGAAGAGTAGGAGGTGTGGGCTCCAGTGATGCCTCTGCTGGTGGTGAAACCTTGCGCTCCATCCCCTCATCTCTGAGGCAGGGAGCCCAGACGTCAGCATCCTTACATTTATCAACTTTATGAGCTACAAAGAGTAACTGAAAGACATTAAACCTAGAAGGAAAAGTACTTCAACTCTACCCAGGGTTCATTCTTTATGAATCTCAGCCTTTCCAAAGAATTTCAGAAATGACTTTAATTCATTTTAATTCTTTTTATTTCCCTCCCACGAACTGGAGATGGAAAAATCATCCCGTTATTTGGAAGAAGCCACAGTTCAGTCTGAAAACTACACACTGCTGCTCTCCTTCACCTGACTTTAGAATCAGCACATTACGCAAACAGCAGGGAGGACGGTTTCTGCAGACCGTGGGACTATTGGCAGAGAGTGTGCATTGGTTGAGTGATATTTTATGCAGTGCTTCATTTATAGCCTTCTGTTTTTTAACTGAAGTATTTCACACACAAACACAGAGCTTTCAAAGAGACAGTTTGATGAGTTTTGTAATGTATTGTTACAGATTCAAAATCATGGAATCTGCTTAAAGTACAAGCAAAACAGGTTTACCGAGGGATAGAGCAAGTCATGAATCAGGCTAGCACAAAGCAACCGAATAATTGCAATGAGTTCCAGCAGCCAGAGGCCAAGCAGGGCTTAAACATTAAAATATTAGGCACTAGCAGTAAAAAGTGTTCTGATTGGCTAGTTAAAGAAAGTTCTGATTGAGTGTTTTTGATAAATCAGTAAGGATATGTCCAAGCAAGTTCCTTGTGTGGGCACTTTTCTGCATACTAGTTAATTGACTGAGAGCTGTGGTAGCATAGTGGTAGCTGATAAAAGCACTTGACTGCTAACCAAAAGGCTGGCGGTTCAAACCAACCAGCCACTCCTCGGAAGGAAGGTTGGGCAATCTACTTCTGTAAGGATACTGGTGATGATACTGCCTCA